CGAATCCAGGTTCGGGCATGGATATTTGTTAATGTATAGTGTGTTGGGTTGGTAGAGCACTCTTGGCCGAAACCCCGCTCATCTATAAACAAAGGTCAAAAATAAAAATTTAATTAATATCAAACTATTATGGTGGGTAACCCGAGTTACATACCTCGGTAATTACTCAACCAAAATAGTAACGCTTCCAAAATCGATCACATAGTTCAGGAATTTATTAAAATCAAAAAAGACTTCCGCAGAAAACAACGGAGCTGGAATTGTTAAATGACTATCAAACAAATGTAGTAATTAGAATTCGATTGTACTCTAATCCAGTATGTAGGTAATCAAACGTTATATCAAGGAAACGACTAAAATAAGGAAATTTACTTTTGAACTTCAAGTCGCAACCTTTTAAGCTCAAAAGGGCACGTTCTGTCTTATCTGTAACAGATAACAACACAAACTAACAAAAAAGAAGGGTAGTGAATAGCGCGGCACATAAAATTGCGGTATAGCAATGTCTAACGTCTGACACTAAGTAAATCGTATACTAAAACCGTAATTAATACTCAATAAAGATCAATATCCTTCAAGAAAACTTTACAATGCACAAATAACCAAATTTCTAAACAACAGCAATGTCATCTCATTAATTCGAAATTAATTCGTAGATATCTGTTTCGAATTAAGTCTAGGTCACTTCAAAAACTAATTTACAAAGCAGCCGTAACTACGATCTCCTATAACAAAACTAATCTGAAGGATAGAAAGTAATCAAACTGAGAGAAATGAATTTTCGGAGTAACAAAGTAATCGTCGACAAAATCGGGTCTCAATATCGCATAGGTGTATTCTTCATGAGAAATTAAACTATTACAATGCCTATTAGGTGGGTTTTCTCTAGACGGTTTTTCCCAGTTTAAGTTTTACGATTTACCATTTATTAAGGATCATCAGATCCTTTATAGTTTTGTATTGTCGTCCGTCCGTCCGTCCGTCCGTCCGTGTGCGCTCTAACTCTTTTTAAAAGTGGCCGATTGAGTTGAAATTTGGTGTACGGGTTCTTTGGACATTAAGGACGGACGCTATTGATTTTCAGGAAGCTGGTTCAATAGGAACAAAAGTTATAGGACTTCGAGTGAATCGGGAACAGGAAAAACTACGGGCTCAATATAATAGAAATCAACATATTTCATTCCCTAGGTCATGTATCGGGTTGGGACTTCCGCTAGATTATTCCCTATGACTCTTAGATGTGTAATACTTTAATATAACTCTTCTCTGTGGTATAGGTCGAAAGTTTTAGAGCAAAATGTAGCAAAAATTACACTTTGTACATGAATTTAGAATTTTAAAAGGTTTCAAACGCATTATCTTGATGCAGCAAGAGTACATCACGTGCACATTTGATAACCGCATGTGTGTGATTCAAAAATGTTAAATTATTGCCATATGGGTTTTGATCAAAATAATCAAAATCGTTATTTATGCACCAAGATCGTCGAGAAAAAGACTAGGGGCATTATCTCAATGCTCAAGACATAAATTTGATGCATTTCTGGCGACCACATGGATTTTGATCAAAACATGTCAAAATCGTTATTTATGCACCAACATCGTTGGGAAAAAGACTAAGAGCATCATCTCAATGACCAAAACATGAATTTGATCTATTTTTGGCGACCACATGAATTTTGATCAAAACATGTCAAAATCGTTATTTATGCACCAAGAACGTTGGGAAAAAGACCAAGAGCATTATCTCAATGATCAAAACATGAATTTGATCTATTTTTGGCGACCACATGGATTTTGATCAAAACAAGATTAAGAGCATTATCTCAAAGGCCAAGACATGAATTTGATGTATTTTGTAACATTAAAATAAATTATCGTTAAAAGTTATTGTAATACTGAGGATCCTTCGATATTTCGTTGTATCGGTTTATTTAGATTAAATTTCCGTACGTTTAATCAGCTGACCAGAGCACTTTTCCAATTATTTAGTCACTACAGTTCCCAGTATTTGCTTAAGAAAGTGGTATAAGAATTTTTTTTAGCTTCTAGGGGCCCATCGTGAGCTCAACCCCCATTGAATTCATATGGCCGTATGTTAAAAATAAAGTTCCAAAGCTAAAGTGTCGTGCCGAAAGTATTCTTTTTAGGAGTTGAAGATGGAAGGTAAAGGTAACTGATTTAATTTTTTGAGTTGTGTTTTAGCTGCCGCCGTTGCTGAAAACAAAAGCTGTAAGAAACTCGCCGTTTGCAACCGTTCCCGTAAATTTTTTTTAATTATCTTTGTTGCGTCCGAAGGCTCTTGTAATTTAGAAGCGAGGCGAATTAATATCTTAGAATTTCATCTCCGTTAAATCATTATTAACAGGTTTTAGTTTCCTATGGTGATTTAAAACGAGCATTAGAACAGCAAGGCTATGCAGGTTTACGCCGGTTTTAATTTGATGAGGGAGCTTTTGGCCTGATCAGAGAAATCCCAAGATACAATGGATGTTAATTGGAATTATGAATTTAGAAACATTATCAGTCAACTCCAGTCAGTGTAATTACCCATAGATAATGTAATGAGATGCATTAAACAACATCTGATTAAGTCGGGAAGGTCCTAAAAGAAGCGCTCTTAATGAATTTTAGGACAATTACAGATTTTTAGGCCGCATAATTAATTAAAGAATTTTTAACTTTGGATGTAGATTGTTATCTATGTTGTCCGGCGTGTAATTTCCTATGTTTCCTGCACCGCAGGGTCGAATTTGATTAAGGATAAAGCTAGGGAATCTTTTTGCCTTTTACATCTTCGCAAGTTACGTGCGTAAGTGCCGTAAATTTTTAGCTTCTCGGTAAATTTACTTTGGCAACAGTACCGTATTTATACCATTGATCTCTTGTCTTTTGTATGTTTGCCGGTTTGGAAGTCACGTTACATTAAAAATTAAGCCTTAGATACTTTTATTCAGTTAATTTCATTATAAGGGAATGTTTACATTTTTGAAATCAGAAAAAAATGCTTTATCTAATGCCACCAAAAGTAAAAAAATGACTTCCATAAGAAAAAACATAGTTGATGATGGTTAAGAGGAGACGAAACGTCAGACTTAAAATTTAAAGCATCTTGTAGAGGGAAAAAGGTGGCCATAATAATGTGTCATTTATTATAAAATATCTTTTTAAATAACTTTGGTAAAAAATAAAATCGATATTGCAAAATTTCGTTTTGTTTCAGGATATCTCCGAAAGTAGTCGGAATTTTTTCAGTTTCAAAACGGCATTTTGTTAAGCATCAAAATACGCTTTGCCTAATTTAAACCACCTACCTATCCCTTACAGTTTTCGAGATCCCATGGTGGCGCGCTAGAATAATTTATCATTGGCCGGTTACGGCTGTTTAATTAGAGAATGCGTTTAATCAACGTTATAGTTATTTATATAAGTCAGGAAAATGACACATTACTGACGAGGAAATATTGAAGTACTCGGCCCCAGTCCCTTTGGCGAATTTCCGTGTCAAGTCATGTCATTTTACTCTCGAGGTTACCCGAAATCGTATTTTAATATAAATTTTTTTTATACAGAACAGTGGCCAGTAAAGTGACCGGATAAAAGGTTTTTTTTATTGCTTTTTTTATATGACGATCCGTTTTCTTTATCGTGAACACAACTGACACATTTTTTTACGGAGTTGACTTTTTGGTATATGTTTATTCCGCATAAGAACACGTGAGCTTGAGGGAATATTTTCGTTTAAACAAAATCCTCGATATCAAGCATGGTTATATATCAAAATTTATAATATTTTGACTATGCGTTGCTCGAAAACAGCATCTAAATTGGAAAGAAATGAAAACTACGTGGTTACTTGTTACTTCCCGTCCGAAAACCTCTTCTGAAACTTCCACGGATTAACTACCCGCAAAAATGATCGAGATCTTTTTTATTGCTCGAATCTTAAAGCTAAAACTATTAACTTAAAAAAGTGGTCCAGGCGCGAATTAATTTCAATTTTTTACTATGGACAACACACTGATCGTCTCGCTGCGCTGGTACCAACCCGATTTTGTCCAAATCACCCTGAATAACCGCTACTTCATTTCTTACTTTAAGAACACCTACAAAATGGCTTCTTATTAATGAACACACGGCCATTTTTAAACCGTTGGTTTTTTTCCTTCGTTGATGCATGCAGCAAAACAATTCCCTCCCTGAATTACTACCGAATTTTGCAAAATCAAATTTTCTCACAACTTCATTCCCAATTAGCCGAGTTGCAAAAGTAACCAAAGAAGGCTAATTTACAGAGTGTAATTTAAAACCAGACCCATAAAATAAGGCGACAACCAATGATCCTCCAACTAATGAGGCTGTACGTATTATCAGAAGTAAATTATGAGCGGTTGGTCAAACATGGCCTTGCAATATTTACAACAATATTATTCTCTAATTTACACGAAACCGAAAAGGCAATGGTGGTTTGAACAATACAAAATGGTAGCAAAACAATTGGCAGCACTCGTATTAAACATGGAGCAGCATTTCCATAAATATTTTGGCTTCTTTATTATTATTAATAGTCGTGTATAGGCACATCGGTTCGGGATTAGGTATTATTATATTTAATAATTAAATTGCCCCGCCTTTCACTCAATCGGTAAATATAGGTAAAAATAAAACAGCCACTTCAAAGAGAATGATTTCTGTTTTTTATCTGAAGGCTGAAAATTCATTTTTCAAGCAGCCGACTCAAGGCTTTTCACCAATAAAGAATCTATACATTGATTGATATTTAAATTAACATACCTACCCGCAACAGTGCGTGGATAAAGAACCTTATGACAAACTTGATAAATAAATAGCTATTCGTTACGTGTCCAAGTTTAAGCAATTCGTTCATGTTACCCGATGACAGTGAAATTTGTCTACAAATTACGTTGCAAATGTGGATGATTGGAAAAGTGTGTTTTTTTTGGCGATTTTTGAATAAAATACTTTCATCCGTGCTGTACCTTGATTATACTTGCTTTTATGGCGGGCGTAGTATTTTGAGACCCCGTCTTCGATTCGGACAAAAAATTACGTCTTACATGTCTATTCACCATATTGTTGGCCAGTGAAAGAGTTTACAAAGTGTAGTGCTGGAAAAATGATTGGTACCCATATCAGATGCACTTTATAATTGAATTTGAAAAATATTGTCACAGGAACATAGGGAAATGCACGCTAATTAATTACACTGTGCCAGACTTTTGATACGTCGACAAATAAAAGATTTCGTTTTAAAATTATTTGCCAACTTTTGACTAGCTTCACGCTAGAATTTGTACGTAAAAGAGATCTGGCGAAACGTGTGCTTAGATTTATCAACCTAAAAGTCTGCCGAAAACTTTTTTCCATGCAAAGCGACAACGCTTTACATCCCTTTTGTTATGTAAAGTCGTTGATAGTCGCCATAGAAGTAAAAGTATACAGCTTTTACCGTAAAACAAAGACCTTTGTAACTTCTTTTCGTTTATCTGATGCTCATGAGCAATTTAGAATGAGAATAGTGGCAGTTTCACGTTTCGGCATTTTCCCGTACAATAAAATTCTTAGTGTAGAACGTTGCAATTTCTCATTGCGATGTAAAGCTTTTTTATTATTTATAGGTAGATCAAAACGTGTAGGTACTAAAAGAGCATCAAGTAAATCACAAACGGATGTTCATTTAGCAGATATTTCGTTATAGACCCTGGATGAAAAATGAATATCCAGCCCGTCGGTAATAGGAATAATCGGAGAAATTAGTTAATGTTTCTAGTCACGGCACAAATCAAATTTATCGTAGGAGGGTGTAACTAAATGCCATTTAGATTCAAATCTTAATGAATGTGAAATTTTTCACGTGCTATTTGTAAATGAAAGGGGATGCGAGACGAGTCACATATAAAAAATCAATTGGGTTTCAATAAAAAAAATCAGAAAACCAGAGGTACATCCTCAAGCTAAACACAAATAAAATAAATGTTTACAGCAATTTCGTTCGCTCGATTTAATTCTTTCAGGCTTGAGCCATTTGAATTTAAATCGGGTAAATAAGAATGAGCGTTTCGCGACGAATGAATGGTAAGCAATAAATAATTCGCGAAGCTGGTAATACAAAGGAAGGTTCTCAAAGAAGGAATTTTGTTGAGTTTATACCCGCTACACCTGAAACAATTATGTTTAAATTGCATAAGTAAATTTAGATGTTAATTAAATGTTTAGGAATTTCTATCTATTGTTAAATGATCCTCTGCAGTTAATACGTTATATTTAAAAAAACAACCAAACGTTCTTATGAAATACTGCTTTTAATTTACAAAACAAACAATTCAGAATGTATTGTTACGTAACTCAAATAGCACTTTAGAGGCTCCAAGCTAAGATCTCATTTAGTTAGAAAAATACAAAAGGAATACCTAGTGTTTTCCTACCCTTAATTAGCTAAGGAACCCGCCATACATAAAAGAACAGCCACACGCTCTTATCAAATACTGCTCTTATACTTTGAAATTGTCACGGTACTCTAATCCCCACCGATGGGTACCATTTGCAACTGGAGTCAAGGGATATTAAAACGCTGCTGCAATTTATTGATTGACCAATTACATTTCTTACTTAATGTGCTAGAAGAAAATTTCTACCGAAAACGTTTTTTTGAAAATTGCCCACCTTCAAGAGTCCGTAGCTGGAAAAAAATTGACCACCATTTTCGAAATATATCCGAAAAACCGCAAAACTGTACCTTCAACCCCCTTTGTTTTACATTGACAAAATAAATTGTGAAATGCCTCTGAATTTGATTCCCTTAACTTTAAATAGAATTAGATACGAATTCCGCAAGATTAAAAAGGCTGAAAAGACTGGTCAGAAATTCAGAGGTTTCTTTAGATAAAAATACAAATAGAGACAACAATAATTCACTTTACGATCTTTCATTTTCAGTTTGAATGATAACAAATAATAATTTTTTAGAGCCCTATTGATACGTTGACTTGTAAATAACTATATTATAAATAGTTTTTTTTATTAATAAACCGACTTGACTTGACTTGACTTAACAGTAAAAGGTGAGAATATTCTTTTCTAATGGATCGTAAGGCTGTCGATTTAAATTTACAAAAGTCGTACAGTTTTATAGTGAACCTCTGTTGGATGAAATTCTTTCGTTGAAACTTGGAGTTCTTACCGCTACGGCGGTGGTTCAATACTCTGGGGTAGTTAACATGTGATTCTTAAAAACTCGACGGCATGAATAAATTCAATAAAACAGGTCTTAGAATAGGAGATATTTAATGATAGTCGATTGAATTGCAGATTTCGGTTGTTGATCCTTCCGGTTAGTACATATTTTTGGTTGTCAAAAGAAACGAGCACTAGCATAAACTCGCTTTTAAAGGTTTGTTCTTTAAATGTTAGGTGTATGTTTTGGAAATTCCTTTAATTAACCTTTCACATTGATTAACTTCAATTTTAGCGGCACAAAAATAAACGTAAGCATTATCTAACATTGCTTCCAGTTTTCTTTATCGCAATTTCACTTTACACGAAAGATTATAGTAAAGTTTGTGTGTAAATTACTCCAATCAAATCAGACGTAAAAATGCTGAATGAAAAGGTCCGGTAGAAGATTTTATTTTGTTCTTGTTTCAATAGTAAAGAGAGAGAAAAAACCAAGATTACCAATGCGACTGACGTGGGAACAAATTTCTGTGGTCAAAAATCAACGAAAATTTTTGACTTTTTTAGTTTTTTTTAAATAACTCGCCAACTGCAATACTATAGTGTGTATAAACGTACCTTTAATTTGATATTTTATTTAGCCCCCTAGAATGTTAAAAGTTCCGTGTTTATTGAATTTCTAATGATGCCATGTAAACCTTTCCAAAATGGGGAGAGGGAAAGGGGGTAAAAAGACGTTCTACCCTTCATGGTATTCAAATGAAAGGTCTCATTGAAATGAATTGGTTTCTACAAACTATAATTTTCTTACGCGACTCCGTTTCGTCGTTTCGACGTCACTGAGTAACCAACGGGGGAGGGAGAGGGGGATTATCTTTCATGGTATTGTAATTAACAGAACAAAATAAACTGTTTTCTACCAGTTACCGTCCTTCTTTCGAACCCCTTATCAAAAGGGGTGGGGGTGGGGAATTACGTTTCCCATTATTATTTTGCCTGTATGATGTCGTTGCAGTGCGTTTGTATTATGATCACAAAGGACAATTCGTCATTTTGTACCGTAAAGCAGCTGTCAACAGTGCAAACATAATGTAACACCATGCCCACATTTTTGGGTTAGATAGTGTATTTGCATTAGTACCAAAATTGGTTTCTGCACAATAATCTATTAGTTTTGAAACGATCTCTAGTAGGAATGCATGGGCTTTCCAAAAAAACAACAATGTTGATGACAGGAACGGTTTCATTGCAACAGGAACCTTCAGCTAGTTTGAATAGTAGATCTATGCTCGTCAAAGTGCATCCTTTATTCTTCAGCAAATATCTTAAGGGGTTGCTAGCGAGACGCTGCTTAGCGGCAATATCTATTAATCCAGAACCCTTAATCTCAAGGACCTTCATCGGCAATCTTGGACTTGGCTTAGGGTGCAAAAATCTACACTCTTCTCATCAGGTGACCCCGTGAATAATTTCACTGCCACCCCATAATTTTTACATGTTAAACGGTCCCGTTGTCCGAATTTACCCGAGCTGTCCAAAGTAGCCCCGTCTTACGGTACGTCCCGTGCTGGTAATCACCGCATAGTCATTTTATTATTATAGAGTTTAACAAGGTGGACCATTTAAAACATTGAAACAAAAGTAGTAAAAACGTCTCTGCATATGTGACCGGTACACTGCTTATGCACACATTCTCCTCGTCATGAGTGTTCTCTTTTCGTCGCGTTACTCTTTTCATTTTTCACTGATTAATCGAATTCAATACGTAATAATTTGCACGTAACCTTTATAATTCACGAACGAATAATTCATCAAACAAGGGTATACAGCTACTAGAGGCGTAATTCAAGGGCATGACTGCCGCAATTATGCGATGCGCTTATGTTAATTGACTTGCTCTACCTAAATTGTAGCAGTTGCGAAATTATGTGCCCGACCAACGTTAACTATTATTACTAAAACTTTAGCCGCGCGAAATTCTATCCTGTTCTGTGTTATTTTACTTAATTATTCCATTGCATTAAATTACGGTTAACCGTCTAACCCCAACTTCATGTCCCAAAACCTTATTTTGCATATAATTTATTTTTCTAAGCTATTTGTTAATGAGCAAGCCCAATGGAGGAAACAGAAATATATGATTTTGTTATAGTGCAGGTTTTTGAAACAATGACACCTACTTAAACAATTTTTTTTGAAAGCATAAACATTTCTAACCTTCCTACTCTCGTTAAATATTACGTAAGATTATTCCCGTGAATAATGTAATAACATCTTTTAAATTTAAACACTTTGAAACCAAAAAATATCGCCATCATTTTTTTTCCTCATCTCTTGTCTCTCAGTTATTACACCGCTTTATTATTCTGTAAAATTATTCTTTTCTTGTACACGAATTCGTTTCTTTTATTAGCGCTCTACGGATTCATTATTAAAACCTTTCCTGTGTAAATTAATCGTCTTCATCACTTACCCTCGCACAACTTCCGTAAATTTCCTTTCAGACTGCATGCTAATGATTATTTTAAAAATAGTAGCCATATTTCTGTTCTTTGTGTTGAATGGGAATCGGATAAAATAAGGCGAAACATGCAACTATTTATATTTTTGCAAAGGTAATACTGCATGTAAAAACTTTTTCAATGGATTAATTGGTTTATTCGAACATATCTTGACAGGTAGTTCGTTGTACGTATTTAGGCTGAATAAAATATACATTTGGTGTACGTCCTGTCACGTATCTGAGGGAGATCAGGCGGAGCAGCTATCGAAACCGAGCTGAAAAATTTGGTCGCATGTAACAAACCTGCGCCGGGTATCGTCGTCCACTAAGAAGGACGGCACAGTGCAAGATATATTAATGTCACCAACC